GTGTATGTTAACTTGAATTTAAATAAAAACTACAAATAAATCATAAAAAATAAAAAATCAATAAATAACTAAACAAATAAAAGTATGTACTGGGAAATGTGAAAACCTGTGGATTAACCCTACATGTTTCCACTGCTCTGGAAGTCAACCGATTTATCAAATTTGAAGCTACTGTGTCTTAGATATAGACCTTAGCTTATTAACCAGTAACTCATTTTGACTAGAAGCTCTTTGAGGGCAGAGAGCACATCTGTGTTTATTACCCTCCCCTTAGCACAGTGCCTGGCACACAGCAAAAACTCAACAAACATTTGCTGGGTGAATGAGTGACTGAACTGAATGTCATCCTGAAGGCTGCAAAATGGCATTTCATTCCCCAATACTCTATAATCAGAGACACCTCCTACTACCCTCCACTATTCTACCCTGACTCTACGTGCTAACTCCAAATTTAAAACTCCAAATTCTCTGGTTGGCTTATATAAATAATGGCTTATCTAAAACCATCAGGGCTTTGTGGGGCGCCTGGTTGGCTCAGTCAGTTAAGCGTCTGCCTTCAGCTCAGGTCATGATCCCAGGGTCCTGCAATCAATGGAGCCCCCCCATCGCATCGGGCTCCCTGCTCAGTGGGGAGCCTGATTCTCCTCCCTCTGCCCCTCCCCACTGCTGGTACACGTGTTCTCTCTCTCTCTCTCTCTCAAATAAATAAATAAAATCTTTAAAAAAATAATAAAACTATCAGGGTTTTTTTTTTTTTAAAGATTTTATTTATTTATTTGACAGAAAGAGAGACAGCGAGAGAGGGAACACAAGCAGGGGGAGTGGGAGAGGGAGAAGCAGGCTTCCCGCGGAGCAGGGAGCCCGATGTGGGGCTTGATCCCAGGACCCTGGGATCATGACCCGAGCTGAAGGCAGATGCTTAACGACTGAGCCACCCAGGTGTCCCGGGGCTTTTCATTTCTAATAATTGAAGTTTGGGTTATTTGGGCGATCCTCTCACGGAAAAAAAGTTTAGAAAGTTGGAGGAAATATAAAAAAAATCTCAAAGCTATCAATACACTGACAAGATGGAAGTGCACTATTCAAAACCAAAGGAAAACTGAAATCCAGACAGGTAAATAACTACAGAAATGGCACCACCCCAGGGCATCTGCCCAGAAAACAGAACTTTTGTTTCAATGGCCCTCTCAGGAGAAGTGGTCACAAACTCAAAGCCTAGGGCCTGTCCGAGGTGAGAAGTCTAAAAAGAGACCTTTTTCTAGAATAAGCTAAGATTCCAAAGGACTACTGAGAATGCATCAGAATTAGACCAGCCCTCTTGCAAAATTACAGTTGGGCTTCCAATATCCAGGTCGTCCGCGGAATTTTAAGCCTTGAAATTAGTTTTAGGTAATTGAACTGAGACTGCATAGTGCTCCCCTGTGGGAATTCCTTCTCAGCGTTTCTTGGGAAATGCATATGTCTTTCTGGATCCGAAGAAAAATCAGTCAAGAAAGTGGAACACAAGAGGAAATACTGTAATTCTCCTGTGAGAATAAAGCCTAGAAATAAACGTAGACGCATTTCGGGTTCGAAGGAATCCACCAATGTCAAGTTGAAAGCAAGAGCAGAAAATACTGACACACAAAGTAAAAGATTAAGGTTGACCAGGATGAGAGTAACAGGAGAGAAGTGACCAGGATCTAATCAGTTAGTTTGGCTTGTAGCTGTTGCTATGCTAGGAGTGTGTTTATAAGTGTTTGCGTTCGTGGCCCTGCGTGCTGCTGACAGTGAGTCATTCCTGCAAATCAAATCAATGTTAATAAGCTTATTTGTACAGCACATTTTTTTACAAATCTTAGAAAGTGACTGTTCAAGAAATATCAAGTTTTAGGGGCGCCTCCGTGGCTCAGTTGATTAAGCGTCTGCCTTCGGCTCAGTTCATGACCCCAGGGTCCTGGGATCGAGCCCCGCATCGGGCTCCCTGCTCAGCCTGCTTCTCCCTCTGCCTGCCGCTCCCCTTGCTTGTGCTCTCTCTCTTGTTCACTCTCTCTCTTGAATAAATAAAATCTTAAAAAAAAAAAATCAAGTTTTAGAAGCAAAGTAAGTCCTTCAACTGGCAATCCTGATAAATGATTCTGTGTAGTGTTAAATCTTGCTCAGAGTGGTGAATAACGTTCCATTATCTGAATACTTGAAACCAAAAATGTTTGCCCAGTGTTCTCCAGGGTTTAACATTTGCCAAAGGCTCATAGTTAAATATATATATTTATATATTAAATTCATGTATATTTATATATTTAATTTATATATAAATTAAAATACTGTAATAGAAAATTATAGAGATGTGAATATTAATATTGAATCATTATGCTGTACACCTGAAACTAATATAAAATGTGTATCAGTTATACCTCAATAAAAAAAATTTTAAGAATATTGTCAAAATGGTCTAAATTTTGATTTAGCAAAAGCAATATTGATTTCAACAGCAAAGTAAAAATCAGAGCAAGTACACAAAATATTTTCATTGTCAAAAAAGAAAATGAGCTTACACGAAGCAACATGCACCCTAAAAGCCCCATCTAAAAATGCTTTTAGATACATTCTTAATTCAACCAACATCAATCTAAGATGAAAACTCTCTCCTTTGCCTCGAATACTAACAAAACAAAGATCAATCCTATCAGGGCAACTAAAGCTTTGTGTATTTAAAATCTTGTTTTAAGAATAACTTTTCAACGCTAATTGTGGTATTATTTTACAATTTTGAAATTATTTTTAACTTTTATTTTATGTTAATACTTCCTTCTGATGTTCTCAAATGTTTACTGTCATATTTATTGTCTGATTTTGATAAATATTCTATAGTTATGTAAGACTTTAAGGTAAGGGGAAGCTGAGTGAAGGGTATATGAGAACTTCAATTTTTTTGCAACTTTTCTATAGATCTTAAATTACTTTACATTAAAAAATAAAAATTATTTTAAAGATGTTACTTACTTGAGAGAGAGAGAGCACGAGCAGGAGGGGCAGAGGGAGAGGTAGAGAGAATCTCATGCAGACTCCATGCTGAGCGAGGAGCCTAACGCGGGGCTCAAACTCACGACCCTAAGATCAAGAGTCTCATGCCCTACCAACTGAGCCAGACAGACACCCCTAAAAGTATCATTATTGAGAAATTCCCACTACCTGGAATTTGAGACACTTTTGTTCTGCCCCCTGCATATCTCATGCAAGAACAGTTTATGAGTATATCCCAAAACTTACAAGTACAGAAGGCAGTGGAAGATCCAGGAACTTGCTATGGCTTTGGGGATGTAGAACTGAGCCGACATTCCCTTAGAATTCCTTTTCAGACACTGACATCATCAAGGTATCTGACAATCCCCCAGGACTTCAGGTACTCATCTTCAGTCAT